TCATCCTGCTCTTCTGCACAGGGAGCGGTCATCCTGCTCTTCTGCACAGGGAGTGGTCGTCCTGCTCTTCTGCACACGCAGCGGTCATCCTGCTCTTCTGCACAGGGAGCGGTCGTCCTGCTCTTCTGCACACGCAGCGGTCATCCTGCTCTTCTGCACACGCAGCGGTCATCCTGCTCTTCTGCACAGGCAGCGGTCGTCCTGCTCTTCTGCACACGGAGCGGTCATCCTGCTCTCCTGCACACGCAGCGGTCATCCTGCTCTTCTGCACACACAGCAGTCGTCCTGCTCTTCTGCACACGCAGTGGTCATCCTGCTCTTCTGCACACGCAGCGGTCATCCTGCTCTTCTGCACACGGAGCGGTCATCCTGCTCTCCTGCACACACAGGGGTCATCCTGCTCTTCTGCACACGGAGCGGTCATCCTGCTCTCCTGACACTCAGCGGTCTTCCTGCTCTCCTGACACTCAGCGGTCATCCTGCTCTCCTGCACACGCAGCGGTCATCCTGCTCTTCTGCACACGCAGTGGTCATCCTGCTCTTCTGCACACGCAGCGGTCATCCAGCTCTCCTGCACACACAGCGGTCATCCTGCTCTTCTGCACACGGAGCGGTCATCCTGCTCTCCTGACACTCAGCGGTCATCCTGCTCTCCTGACACTCAGCGGTCATCCTGCTCTCCTGCAACACAGCGGTCATCCTGCTCTTCTGCACACGCAGCGGTCGTCCTGCTCTCCTGCACACGCAGCAGTCATCCTGCTCTTCTGCACATGCAGCGGTCATCATGCTCTTTTGCACACGCAGCGGTCATCCTGCTCTCCTGCACACACAGCGGTCATCCTGCTCTTCTGCACAGGGAGCGGTCATCCTGCTCTCCTGTACATGCAGTGGTCATCCTGCTCTTCTGCACACGCAGTGGTCGTCCTGCTCTTCTGCACACGCAGCGGTCATCCTGCTCTTCTGCACAGGGAGCGGTCATCCTGCTCTTCTGCACACAGAGCAGTCGTCCTGCTCTCCTGCACACGCAGCAGTCATCCTGCTCTTCTGCACACACAGCGGTCATCCTGCTCTTCTGCACAGGGAGCGGTCATCCTGCTCTCCTGCACACGCAGCAGTCGTCCTGCTCTTCTGCACACGCAGTGGTCGTCCTGCTCTTCTGCACATGCAGCGGTCATCCTGCTCTCCTGCACAGGGAGCGGTCGTCCTGCTCTTCTGCACACGCAGCGGTCATCCTGCTCTTCTGCACACGCAGCGGTCATCCTGCTCTTCTGCACACGCAGCGGTCATCCTGCTCTTCTGCACACGCAGTGGTCGTCCTGCTCTTCTGCACACGCAGCGGTCATCCTGCTCTTCTGCACAGGGAGCGGTCATCCTGCTCTTCTGCACACAGAGCAGTCGTCCTGCTCTCCTGCACACGCAGCAGTCATCCTGCTCTTCTGCACACACAGCGGTCATCCTGCTCTTCTGCACAGGGAGCGGTCATCCTGCTCTCCTGCACACGCAGCAGTCGTCCTGCTCTTCTGCACACGCAGTGGTCGTCCTGCTCTTCTGCACATGCAGCGGTCATCCTGCTCTCCTGCACAGGGAGCGGTCGTCCTGCTCTTCTGCACACGCAGCGGTCATCCTGCTCTTCTGCACACGCAGCGGTCATCCTGCTCTTCTGCACACGCAGCGGTCATCCTGCTCTTCTGCACACGCAGCGGTCATCCTGCTCTTCTGCACACGCAGCGGTCATCCTGCTCTTCTGCACACAGAGTGGTCATCCTGCTCTTCTGCATAGGGAGCGGTCATCCTGCTCTTCTGCACACAGAGTGGTCATCCTGCTCTTCTGCACATGCAGTGGTCATCCTGCTCTTCTGCACAGGGAGTGGTCATCCTGCTCTTCTGCACACGCAGCGGTCGTCCTGCTATTCTGCACAGGGATTGGTCATCCTGCTCTTCTGTACACGCAGTGGTCGTCCTGCTGTTCTGCACAGGGAATGGTCATCCTGCTCTTCTGCACAGGGAGCGGTCATCCTGCTCTTCTGCACACGCAGCGGTCGTCCTGCTGTTCTGCACAGGGATCGGTCATCCTGCTCTTCTGCACACACAGCGGTCATCCTGCTCTTCTGCACATGCAGCAGTCATCCTGCTCTTCTGCACAGGGAGCGATCGTCCTGCTCTTCTGCACAGGGAGCAGTCATCCTGCTCTTCTGCACATGCAGCGGTTATCCTGCTCTTCTGCACACGCAGTGGTCATCCTGCTCTTCTGCACACGCAGCAGTTGTCCTGCTCTTCTGCACACACAGTGGTCATCCTGCTCTTCTGCACAGGGAGCGGTCATCCTGCTCTTCTGCACATGCAGCGGTCGTCCTGCTCTTCTTCACAGGGAGTGGTCATCCTGCTCTTCTGCACATTGAGCGGTCATCCTGCTCTCCTGTACATGCAGTGGTCATCCTGCTCTCCTGTACATGCAGTGGTCATCCTGCTTTTCTGCACATGCAGCAGTCGTCCTGCTCTTCTGCACACGCAGCGGTCATCCTGCTCTTCTGCACAGGGAGTGGTCATCCTGCTCTTTTGCACATGCAGCGGTCATCCTGCTCTTCTGCACTCTGAGCAGTCATAATGTGCACTGAGTTGGGCGCCAGTGGCTCACGCCTGTAATCCTAGCTACTCAAGGATGCTGAGGTCTGAGGATCATGGTTCAAAGCCAGCCTGGGCAGGAAAGTCCTGAGATCTCATCTCCAATAAACCACCAGAAAACTGGAAGTGGCGCTGTGGCTCAAGCGATAGAGTGCTCTCCTTAAGCTGAAGAGCGGAGGGACAGCTCCCAGGCCCAGAGTTCAAGCCCCATAACTGACAAAAATAAGTGCACTGAGAAGTTGTCACGCACACTGAGAGGTCATCATGTGCACTGAGAGGTCGTCACGTGCACTGAGAGGTTGTCACGTGCACTGAGAGGTCATCAGGCGCACTGAGAGGTGGTCACGTGCACTGAGAGGTCATCAGGCGCACTGAGAGGTCGTCACGCTCACTGAGAGGTCATCACGTGCGCTGAGAGGTCATCAGGCGCGCTGAGAGGTCGTCATCCACACTGAGAGGTCGTCAGGCTCACTGAGGGGTCGTCAGGTGCACTGAGAGGTCGTCATGCTCACTGAGAGGTCGTCAGGTGCACTGAGAGGTCATCACATGCACTGAGAGGTCGTCACGTGTACTGAGAGGTCGTCACATGCGCTGAGAGGTTGTCACACTCACTGAGAGGTCGTCATGTGCACTGAGAGGTCGTCACGCTCACTGAGAGGTCGTCACGTGTGCTGAGAGGTCCTCAAGTGCGCTGAGAGGTCATCAGGTGCACTGAGAGGTCATCAGGTGCACTGAGAGGTCGTCACGCTCACTGAGAGGTCGTCACGTGCACTGAGAGGTCGTCACGCTCACTGAGAGGTCGTCACGTGTGCTGAGAGGTCCTCAAGTGCGCTGAGAGGTCATCAGGTGCACTGAGAGGTCGTCATGCTCACTGAGAGGTCGTCAGGCCCACTGAGAGGTCGTCAGGCACACTGAGAGGTCGTCAGGCACACTGAGAGGTCGTCAGGCGCACTGAGAGGTCGTCAGGCACACTGAGAGGTGGTCACGCGCACTGAGAGGTCATCAGGCGTGCTGAGAGGTCGTCATCCACACTGAGAGGTCGTCAGGCTCACTGAGAGGTCGTCAGGTGCACTGAGAGGTCATCATGCTCACTGAGAGGTCGTCAGGCACACTGAGAGGTCATCACGTGCGCTGAGAGGTCGTCACATGTGCTGAGAGGTCGTCACACGCACTGAGAGGTCATCACGCTCACTGAGAGGTCATCACGCGCGCTGAGAGGTCATCAGGCGCGCTGAGAGGTCGTCAGGCTCGCTGAGAGGTCGTCAGGCGCACTGAGAGGTCATCACGTGCGCTGAGAGGTCGTCACATGTGCTGAGAGGTCGTCACGCGCACTGAGAGGTCGTCACACGCACTGAGAGGTCGTCACGCTCACTGAGAGGTCATCACGCGCGCTGAGAGGTCATCAGGCGCGCTGAGAGGCCATCATCCACACTGAGAGGTTGTCAGGCTCACTGAGAGGTCGTCATCCACACTGAGAGGTCGTCACGTGCACTGAGAGGTCATCAGGTGCGCTGAGAGGTCGTCAGGCGCACTGAGAGGTCATCACACTCGCTGAGAGGTCATCACACGTGCTGAGAGGTCATCAGGCGCGCTAAGAGGTCGTCATGCTCACAGAGAGGTCGTCAGGCGCACTGAGAGGTCGTCACCCGCACTGAGAGGTCATCAGGCGCACTGAGAGGTCGTCAGGCGCACTGAGAGGCCGTCACGCTCACTGAGAGGTTGTCAGGTTCGCAGAGAGGTCGTCAGGCGCACTGAGAGGTCATCAGGCGCGCTGAGAGGTCGTCACGCTCACTGAGAGGCCATCAGGCATGCTGAGAGGTCGTCACGCTCACTGAGAGGTCATCAGGCGTGCTGAGAGATCGTCACGCTCACTGAGAGGTCGTCAGGCGCGCTGAGAGGTCATCAGGTGCGCTGAGAGGTCGTCAGGCGCGCTGAGAGGTCGTCACATGCACTGATAGGTCATCACGCACGCTGAGAGGTCATCAGGTGCACTGAGAGGTCGTCAGGTGCACTGAGAGGTCATCAGGCGCGCTGAGAGGTGGTCACATGCACTGAGAGGTCGTCATGTGCGCTGAGAGGTCATCAGGCGCACTGAGAGGTCATCAGGCGCGCTGAGAGGTGGTCACGTGCGTTGAGAGGTCGTCACGTGCGCTGAGAGGTCATCAGGCGCGCTGAGAGGTCGTCATCCACACTGAGAGGTCATCAGGCTGAGAGGTCGTCACATGCGCTGAGAGGTCGTCACGCTCACTGAGAGGTCGTCACGTGCGCTGAGAGGTCGTCACGCTCACTGAGAGGTCGTCACGCTCACTGAGAGGTCATCACGTGTACTGAGAGGTCGTCAAGTGCGCTGAGAGGTCATCAGGCGCGCTGAGAGGTCGTCAGGCGCACTGAGAGGTCGTCAGGCTCACTGAGAGGTCGTCAGGCGCACTGAGAGGTCATCAGGCGCACTGAGAGGTAGTCAGGCGCACTGAGAGGTCGTCACGTGCACTGAGAGGTCGTCAGGCGCACTGAGAGGTGGTCACGCGCACTGAGAGGTCATCAGGCGCACTGAGAGGTCGTCACGCTCACTGAGAGGTCATCACATGCGCTGAGAGGTCATCAGGCGCGCTGAGAGGTCGTCATCCACACTGAGAGGTCGTCAGGCTCACTGAGAGGTCGTCATGCTCACTGAGAGGTCATCAGGCGCACTGAGAGGTCATCACGTGTGCTGAGAGGTTGTCACATGTGCTGAGAGGTCGTCACGCGCACTGAGAGGTCGTCACGTGTGCTGAGAGGTCATCAGGCGCGCTGAGAGGTCATCACGTGCGCTGAGAGGTCATCAGGCGCGCTGAGAGGTGGTCAGGTGCGCTGAGAGGTCGTCACGTGCGCTGAGAGGTCGTCAGGCGCGCTGAGAGGTCATCAGGCACGCTGAGAGGTCGTCAGGCACGCTGAGACGTGGTCACATGCACTGATAGGTCATCACGCGCGCTGAGAGGTCATCAGGCGCACTGAGAGGTCGTCAGGCACACTAAGAGGTCATCAGGCGCGCTGAGAGGTGGTCACGTGCGCTGAGAGGTGGTCACGTGCGCTGAGAGGTGGTCACGTGCGCTGAGAGGTCATCATGCGCACTGACAGGTCATCATGCGTGCTGAGAGGTCGTCAGGCGCACTGAGAGGTCGTCAGGCGCACTGAGAGGTGGTCACGTGCACTGAGAGGTCATCAGGTGCACTGAGAGGTCGTCACGCGCACTGAGAGGTGGTCACGTGCACTGAGAGGTCGTCAGGCGCGCTGAGAGGTTGTCGGGCGTGCTGAGAGGTCTTCACGCTCACTGAGAGGTCGTCAGGCACGCTGAGAGGTCGTCATGATCACTGAGAGGTCGTCAGGCGCGCTGAGAGGTGGTCACGTGCACTGAGAGGTCCTGGCAGAGCAGGAATTCCACCAATTTGTTGTTACCTGTGGAGCCCACTTTGGTGGCTGGGTCATGGTGACATCAGCCAGAGTCCCCAGTGTGAACTGGCTCTTGTGCTCTGTGGCGGGACCTTGGGGAACGCTTTGAGAGGCCCCTTCCCTGTGTGGGTCTGGCACTCGCCCTTCAGGGGACTGGCTGGGGCCGTTACTCCTGAGACGCTCTGATTGCCTCAGGCTGGCCACAGCCCCTCCCCGTGGTCCACCCACCAGGAGCCCACACCTCGGACACACTCACCCCAGCCCTGCAGCTTCCCTCCTGGCCCACGTCCAGACCAGGGTGTCCACCTGCTCACTGCTGCTGGGGGTCAACAGAGGCACCGGCGCGCAGCCATGTCTGCTTTATACCTGCCCATAAGGCGCTCACAAGCCCCTGGGACCCTGAGCCCACAGAGCACTCCTTTACTGTGTTTGCGCTTCCCCTCCCCCTGCATGGGCCTTCTCCATCGATGCAGAACCGGCCTCCACCACCCCTGGTGCTCCACACCACTCTGAGGGCCCCGCCTTGCTCCCTGTCCCTTGCAGCGTCCCTCAGACAACCCCTCTCCCCTCCTTGGGCCGCACTTGATCAAGGCTTCAGGGCTGGACAGGAGGGAAGAGGAGGAAGAACAGGAGAGCCTTGGAGAAGCGAGACAGCCCAAGGGAGGAGTCAGTGAGATCCAGCTTGTACTCCAAAGAAGAGTAACCTCAAGAAGATGGCCAGACCCCAAAGGAGTGGTGCCACACCTCTCAGACCCAGGGGCCTTTCTTGCCTTCCTCCCCAGGGACCTGCCCGCCCCGGAATCCCGCTTCCCCCACCGTTTTGGAATAGGAAGTCGTATGACATCTTTATATGCTATGCTTACTTGGACAGTTCTCTGTATGATGATCCCTAGAAAATGATTTATAGTGCAAACTTCCCTTTAAAAATCTGGCTCTACCTTGCTCCTGTGTCATAATTAACCACAGACAATTAGTACTAAAATGTGGTGTCACCCACGAGGCAGTGGAATTTCCAGAAATTCCCGGCTCCACTTGATTAGCAGCTGAGGGCACCTTGATTTTTTAAATCGTCATACAATAACAATTGATTCTTCACAGATCCCAGGTGACACTCAAACCATTGGCTAGCATATGAGAAGGAGCAATCACTGAGACCAATTCACAACATTCACTGCGAGGGTTTTGTGCATTAAAAGAGAAATAATGCAAGCAAGCAAGAAAAAAGGAAAGCAATTTGACCTTCCCTCGCTGCCTGGCTGTTCTAGGCCCCAAAGCCCATTTGCAGGGAATTGTTTGAGCCTCCAACCTGGCACCCACGGTGTCCACCCTGCAGTCACGGGGCCCGGCACCCACATGTCCACCCCGCCATCATCCACACCTGCTGCATGAGTCAATGGGCCCAAATTATGGAGTGAGGCAGACACCCCACCGAGAATCAGGAACACAAAAGGGCTCTGTGCTTTGGGCTGTGGGTGGGAATTACAAAAGGTTAAGAGACTAAATATAAAAACCCTCTGAATATAAAATCAATGTGCTTTGTTACTGAAATCTGGGTGCTGTAATTTATCCAAAGTAGGGTTTGCGATATCTGGCAATCGTCCACGTCTAGGAAATCGTCTTTTCTGCTTGTCGAAATGCAGATTGTCTATTGGAAACTTAAAAACAATTAAACCACTGAGATATTTCATAACAGAATAATGAAATACTGCATTTTGCAATTACGTATTACTGACATTGGGCCTCTGGAAGGAGGGTGTGTTTTCATTCTTTTGCCTATTTGTGTTAGTGAAAAGCAAGTTCTCGAGAGGGCTTGCTTGCTGAATTTCCATGGGGGAAGGATGCCTGAGAGGCCAAGTCCCCGCTGGGGTGGAGGGCTGCGGGCAGCCATGCTACCACCTGTCCAGTACGAAGTCCAGCGCAGCCCAGCCCACTTGGGGTGGCAGGTTCTGGGTGGATCTCAAAGGGGCTGTCTGCTGGTGGGGGAGACGGAAGTTGGGCTGGACTCTGAGCCTCTCTTGTTGACCATGGGGACAGGGTCCCGAGAGGACCCAGTGGCCTCTTGGGGTCCCTACTGCACAGAAGTGTTGCGGTCCTTGGGCAAGGTGGCTGCATCACACCCAAGGCTATGAAATGCGTATGGCCACGGTCTTTTATTTTTGTTGATCATGGGGCTTGAACTCTGGGCCTGGGCGCTTTCTCTGAGCTCTTCAGCTCAAGGCGAGAGCTCTATCCCTTGAGCCATAGTGCCACTTCCAGTTTTCTGGTGGTTCATTGGAGATCAGAGTCTCACGGACTTTCCTGCCTGGGCTGGCTTTGAACTGTGATCCTCAGATCTCAGCCTCCTGAGTAGGTAGGATTACAGGTGTGAGTCACCAGTGCCTGGCTGGCCATGGTCTTTCTGGGCACGGGGTGTGCGTGTGTATGTGTGTGTGCAGGAGCAGAGCCATTCCCACGCTGTGGACTCAGCTTCACTGCCCCAGCTGCCTGCCGGCGTTAGTGCTGGGGAACATGAGCAATGGCCATCAAACGCCCCTCCCCACCTCTGCTTAACTTGAGGTCTGACTCAGGCCTGGCACTTCCCTCTGGGGGGCTCACGGCCCTCACCCCTCTCCCAGAGCACCCCTCCTCCCACATGCCGCGTCTGAGCGGGGACCCCAGGCTGCTATGGAGAAGCTCGACAAGGAGGGACGCAACATCTCCCAGGGCTCCTGGTGGCTGGTGGGCCCCGGCATGACCCGGCCGAGGCCTGCAGGCTCTTGGGAGCATGAAGCCAGCTGAGCACGGGGCACGTGGGCCGGGTGTTCATGGGGCCAGGCTCCTGACCATCAGAGCCTTCCCTATGCACCCATTACTGTAACAGAAGCAGTCCTGGCCAGAGGCTGGGGTACAGGGCCTTGGGCATGGCTACAGAGGGGCCAGCCCGAGTCCCAGGTGCTCCGGGGAGGGGCCTCTGGAGACCCTGACACAGCTCTGCGCCAGCAGAGCCTGGAGGCGTGCTCTGGTGACAGAACTATGACCTGGATTTCCTCCTCGCTGGTAACTGAGCCTGTGCTTTGTAAATTCGTATCCCCATGTGTAAGAACTGCCTCTTCCCCTCACCCCTGCCCCCCGAAACAGGGTGGCAGCTGTGGCCCCTGGGCCCACGGGAGGTACAGGCAGACCGGTGGTAGGTGGCGGAACAGGACGCAGACACTCTGAAGCTCCACCGTGCTCTTTGCTCAAGCAGTGCTAGATCGTCCTCAGTACACAGCCGGTTTGGGTGAAGCTAGTTGCCAGCCTTAGACCACGTCCGGCCTGCTGGAGAATGGATCTGTCCTGGTCTCTGCGTGGATCCTGGGGTGTGCTGGTATCTATGAATGGCTCCTGGGATGCCCTGGTCTCTGTCTTGCGTAGTTCCTAGGATATTCTGGTCTCTGTGCATGGTTCCTCCTGTGTCCTGGTCTCTGTGTGTGGTTCTTGGGATGTCCTGATCTCTGTCTGTGTGTGGCTCCTGCGGTGCCGTCTCTGTCTATGCATGGTTCCTGGGGTGTCCTGGTCTCTGTCTGTGAGTGGTTTCTGGGGTGTCCTGGTCTCTGTCTGTCTGTCAGTGGTTCCTGGGGTGTCCCGGTGTCTGTCTGTGAGTGGTTCCTGGGGTGTCCCGGTGTCTGTCTGTGAGTGGTTCCTGGGGTGTCCCGGTGTCTGTCTGTCTGTGAGTGGTTCCTGGGGTGTCCCGGT